TGGAGGGGGGAGATGTGTGTGGATGTGCCCAGAAACCATCTCCAGCGCTCGTCCATCCCCACGCGCCATTGCCTAGGGGATCCGCTGAGACCCATGAACAGGGGAGAGGTGTTGCTACATAGCATGCACCCCTCCATGCACACTGCAGCCCCTGGGCCCCCTTGCACCCCCATCTCCCATGCACACCCCAGCTCCTCATGCGCCCCTCCATGCACACTTCTCACTCCCCCAGCCCCCTATGCACACCCCCCAGCCTCCCACCCACCCTCAAAGCACACCTGCATACCAACCCACTGACAGACAAGTGCTCGTCTCTCACACGCACAGCCTCCACAGTCCCCACCCTAGCTCCCTCCCCATCCCCCCAGTATCCTTGCCCCCCATGCCCCCCCCCCCAAGTCCCCAGACTCTTATCCCCCTCCCCCTGTCCCCCCACCCCCCATCACCAGCTCTTTCTGCTCATGTGTGTCCAGGCTTTAAGGAGAGCAGTTGCTTGGCATTAACCCTTTCCCTGCACTGACACTACCAGTTTTGGAGGGGGGGGGGGGAGAGAAGTGGCCAGCAAGGCATCCATTAACATTAACGCTTACCCCTATCCCAATCCAGGCTCATTCATCTCAAAGCCCCTTCCACCCTGTGGTGCCCCACATCCCAGCCCCATTCCACCACAAGCCCTGCCCCCAACCCACCAAATATGGGCATTCTTCACTTCCTGTCCCAAAGAGCCAGGCACCATTGCTGCATGCTGTTTGCAAGCTGCCCTGTTCCGCCCCCGAGGGGGCTGCGTTTCAGCACTGAGGGGAAGCGATTCCTGTGTATCCAGCCCCATAGGGAGTGTTGTGAGGTTGGATCGGTGCCTCTAGGAGCATGCAACGCCCTCCCAGATACTGCCCCCTTGGGCTGGGCAATGCCGTGGAGAAGACTTCCCTGCCACCAGCCCATGGGCAAATTCACATCTGTCCAGAGCTCTGGGGCCCCAGCTCCCAGCTGAGAGCATGTACTTGCAGAGAGGGGTGGGGGGGTAGGGGACAGCCCCAGCTGGGATAATAGAGGGCACAGCTGGGGGTGAGGCTGGAGGAGCATCAGCTGTGCACTCCTGCATCTGGGATCAGTACCAGGAGATGGGATGGGGGGAGGAGAGAGACTACCTCCTAGGGTGACCACACAGCCTATTAGAGGTTGTGTCTTATAGAGGCCCCTCTACACCCCCCCCCCCACCTCCCCCCAAAAGTGTCCTGATTTTCCACACTTGCTGTCTGCTCACCCTCTGCTGGCCCCCTGGTGGAGAATTCACACCCTAGGGGTAGCACTTCATCCCCTGCCAAGGGGGGGGGGGGGAAGAGAGAAGAGGGCAAGCCCTGGCTTGGGGAAGTGGGGGGCAGGGGGGGGGAGGAGAGAAGAGCAGTGCCCAGATACATCAGAGCAGCTGGGGCCAGGAGGCTGGTGCAGCAAAAGGCCCAGATCAAGGTCAGGTCCCCTCCCTGCGAGAGCTGAGTCAGAGGCAGCCACCCCCACTGCACTGAGTCACCTGCCTGGGGAACTCTGGAGGGGGCAGGCAGAGGGATGCCCCCACTGCCTCCTGCTCAAGGGGGGGGGGAGAAGAGAAGAGCAGAACAGAACTCAGCCTACACCCCCTGCCCCCCTGGAGCCAGACCCCTCTGTGCTGGAGCAGGCTGCCCTCCAGCCAGGACAGCACGAGCCAGATCGCAGACCCCTACCACAGGGGGAGCAACAATGCCCATGCCAGCCCCACAGGCACCCCTTCAAGGCAGCTCCCAGTCCTTCCACAGACCCCTCAACTTGGCTGCCCTTGGGGGCTAAGCCCCAGCTTAACGGGGCTCCAGGTTTGCATCAAGGATGCCAGCCTTGCCCACCCCCTCGCATTGCCCAGGGAGGAGGGGGGAGTCCTGGGCTATGCCCAGCCCCCTGGGGGAGCAGGCCAGGGAGGGGAGAGCTTGAAGGGGCTCCCAGCAAAGGCTCTGTCCAAGCCCGAGCATGGGGGCATCATTCAGCATCAGGCTCCTACAGTGCACTCGGCCCTCCCCAGCCGGGGAGCGATGCTGGGCATCTCACTCCTCCCCCGCCCACTCCGCTGCTCCTGCACTCATGCCTCAGCCAATGAGCATTTAGGGCAGAGCTGTTTGCTGGGTGCTCCAGGGACTACCCACTTCAGCTCCCCCTACCCCACCCAGGGCCTGAGCCAGCCTGCATCTGGGCCTGGCTCCATGCACCAGCCCAGGAAGGGCACAGGAGGGGGCGTGAGATGGCTCACCCAGGCTGCAGCTGGGGCCCTTCCCCACCCTGACTGCAGAGTCCCACCTGCCCAGGACCCACACCTGGGGCTGGACAGCCAGGAGAGGTCTTGCTTCATGGAGTGTCACAGCTGGATCAGCCACCATCCACACCCTCCCTGCTACACCACTGTGAACATGGCCAATACAGCAGCAGGGCACCAGGCTGCCAGCCACTCCCTACCCCCAGACTCCCTACGATGGGGAGCACAGGGTCCCCCTTCCCATGAGTGACCTAGGGGGGCTTTCCTTGTGCAGCATGGCCCCTACCTCCTCAGAGGTTGAGCTGGAGACCCCCAGAGGCTGAGGGAAGGGGAGTGACAGGAGAGGTCAGTCTCTGTACCATTGGACCAGGAATAACTGCTGATTCTAGCTCCGCTCGGTGACCACCACCCTCCCCAGAGCTTGGGGCTGGCTCTGGCCACAGCAGCTTCTGGTAACAGTGCCCAGAAAGAGCCTAAGGCAACCCCCCAGCCCTAGGAACACAGCTGGGGTGTGTGGTTAGCACCTCATGTCCCCCACCAGGCCCTGAGCTAGGAGACTGGATGGGGTAGAGGAGGAAAGACCAGAGGAGATGAGGGCTCAGCTTTCCAGCAAGTGTTTATTGCTCACAGCAGCCCCAGCTGGGAGTGCTTGGCCCACCTGTCACACCTGCAGGTGGTCACAGGCCAGGCACCCCCCAAACCCAGCCCCTGTCCTTGCAGCAAGAACCCCACACCCTCACCAGGGACAGCCCTGACCCGTGCTTAAACTCAAGAGACACCCTCTACCGGGGGGAAAAAACTCAACATAAAAGGGAGGTTCATTTGCCCGGCTGGCTGGGCCAGTCTCTTCCTGCCCAGGGAGCTTCCCCGCCCTCCACCTATTCCGGGTGGAAATTAAGAGTTAAAGCAAATACCAGCCAAAAATCGTGTCTTGCCCGGCCTTTGAGCTCCAGGGCCCCCTGCTCAGTGCCAGGCAGCAGCTCCCTGGGCGGGATGCTGGCTCTAGGCCACCTCCTGCGGCCTGGTGGTCGGGGGCAGCTGGAAGAGGGCACTGAGGTTCACCTCGGGCTCCACAGCATGGCGGCCGGGGCGCTCGTTGAAGAGCCCCGACAGGTCGCTCTCCAGCTTGGCCTTGACCCGCAGGAGGAGCGTGTGGCCCAGGCGCCCGGGGCTGTCCTCCCCCGCCGGGAAGCCTGAGCGGCTGCGCTTGAGTCGCACATAGAGCTTCTGGCTGAAGAGCTGGTGCAGGTTCTCCTCCACCAGCACCCGCCGCCGGTTCTTCCTGCTGGGCCGGCAGCGCTGAGGCTGCAGAGAGATGAGTGGAGCTCAGGGCGTTGTTCCCCCTCGGGCCTCCAGCGCCCCAGGGGCTCCCCCACCCCAGGTCCTGCTCAGCCCTGCCCCATTATAAGGCACCCCCCACCCCCAGCAACCCCTGCCCCTCCTCGACAAGCGTCTTTTGTAACCGGTGCCAGTGGCGCCACACCCCAGAGTGCTCAGGGGAGATGTTCCCCCAGGGCAGCTCCTATGGTGGTTTGATGCTAGAGGGTCTTTCCCAGCTAACCATGTTTGAGCAAAGGGGGGGGGTCATGCCCCACTTCCCACTGAGGTAGAAGGGTGGAGCCCCCCCCCCATTTGGAATCAGACCCCTGCTTAAGTGAGCTTCTGCTACTTCCGG